GCATGTGACAGCTAGCGGTAGGGTCTCGTTGTATTGGATGAGGATGGCATCCGAGGTGAGCAGGTCCTTGGTTTAGTTGAAGGCGGCTTCCTCGCATTTCCCCCAAGTCCATGGAGCCGCCTTGTCCAGGAGCCTATGCAAAGGCTCTGCCGCGGTCGCCTTCTGGGGCAGGAAAACATTGTAAAAGTTAAGTAGTCCTAGAAATGCCTGTAGTTCCGTTTTATTCTTCGGTCTGGGGGCTTCCTTGATCGCTCTGATTTTTTCCTCGGTTGGGTGAATTCCGTGCCGATCAAGGAGGGACCCCAGGAACTCGACTCTCTCGGTGTGTAATTGGCATTTTTCTTTCTTAACCTTCAGCCCCGCGTTTTTGAATTTGGTTAGGACTTCCCTCAGGCGACCCTCTAGCTCCTTCTGGTTGGTTTACGACACCAATACATCGTCGAAGTAGGGCACCACCCCCTTGATTCCTTGCAGGAGTCTCTCCATGAGGCTCTGGAATATTCCTGGGGCCACGCTGACTCCAAACTGGAGTCTCTTACAGCGGAAAGCCCCCCGGTGGGTTACTATTGTTTGTGCCTCGGCCGTTTCTGCGTCGACCGGCAGCTGCTGATAGGCTTGTGCCAGGTCGAGCTTCGCAAAGACCTTGCCTCCCCCCAGTGAGTGTAGGAGGTGCTGCACTACTGGGACGGGGTAGGCGCTTTGCTGCAGAGCGCAATTAAGGGTGGCCTTATAGTCCCCGCAAATTCTTACTGACCCATCCGGCTTGACGGGGGTGACTATGGGGGTCTCCCACCGGGCATGGTCGATTGGCTCGAGGACCCCTTGTTTGACGAGCTTGTCTATTTGCTCGTTGATTTTTGGCCGAAGCGCGAATGGTACTCGCCGTGGTTTCAGGCGAATGGGGGGAATGCTGGGGTCTAGGCTGAACGAAATGGGGGGCCCTCGGTACTTGCCTAGGGTGCCGTCGAACACTTCCTGGAAGTCTCTGGCGAGCTGCTCTTCCCAGTCGGCCTCCTGGACGTGGTCGATTCCCGTCACCTCGATTCCGAGCGGCGCGAACCACTGCAGTCCCAAAAGGCTAGAGCGATCTCGGTCCACAATCGTTAGGGGAAGCCTTGCTGTTCGCCCCTTGAAAGTCACCTCGAACTGGCCAGTCCCGACTACCGGTATACGATTTCCTTGGTAGTCTTTGATAATCAGGCTCTGGCTTTCCAGCCCCTTCCTGTGGATGGCGGGCACCAGGCGCTTTATTTCCCGCCATGCGACCATTGAAAGGTAGGACCCGGAGTCCACCTCCATTTTGCATGGCTCGCCCTCGATGCCCACCTCCACATATACTTTCCGGGCGTCTGTGCTGGAGGAGTGGCCGATAACGATCGTCTGGTGGGTTTCCTCTCTCCGCCTGTTCCCGCCGTCTCGTCGGCTCCGTCCGTCTCGGTTCCATCGGCTCTCGGCTTGGCGGTCCCTGGGCCTGGGGGCAGTGCCGTCTTGCCTCCGGTTGCTGTCATCTCGTCGTCGGGGGCTGTAGTTCTTCTTGAGTCGGCAGACTCGGGCGATGTGGCCACTTTTATCGCAGTGCCGGCATATTGTGTCGAAAAACTGGCACTCTGCTCAAGGGTGGTCGCCCCCGCACCCGGCACACGGTTGCCCCAACTTACGACTCCGTCGGTCGCGCCGGTCCCGGTCTGCCTGGAGTCGATGCACGTCCTCTTCCTCGTCGGTGGCGTCGGAGGCGGAGTCGAGGTCACCATGGTGGTGGTCTCTCGGCGGCTTGCTTCGGGGCGCGTTTCGGTTGCCGTGCCTGCTTCGGCGGTCGCGCTTCGGTCCCCGGTGTCGGGCCTCCGCATTCGGGCTGCTGACTTCCGGGTAGCCTCGGCTGCGGTGGCGTCAGCGAGGACGTCGGTGAGGGCGATATCGCCTTTGGCCATCAACCGGCTCTGGAGGACTGGGTCTCTGAGTCCCAGGACAACGCGGTCTCGGAGCGCCTCGTCCATGTCCGTAAAGCCACACATGCCTCCGAGATTTCGTAGGGCAGCCACGAAGTCTCCGATGCTCTCGCCCGCTCACTGGTCTCGTCGATAGAAGTCGTGCCGCCGGATGAGGGTGGGCACGTCGGGGGCATAGTGGCTTCGGAGTAATGGCGCGAGGTCGGCCCAGTCCATTGTCTTGACGTCCTCTGGCTTCGCGAGGGCTTTCGCCATTTGGAACACTGCGGGCCCGCAGTGTGTGAGGAAAACAACCCTTTTCTTCTGCCCGTTTGCATCCTTTAGGTTGTTACTTTCGAGGAACATTAGGAATCGGTCCGTGTACGATTCCCAATCCTCAGTAGCCGGGTTAAAAGGTGCGGGCGGTGCGATGCTGGCCATCTCGTCGGTCTCGCTTCCCCGGACACGTGTACGATGGGGATCAGTCTTAGGATCCCACCCTCGTCGCCAGTGTCGTGTCCGGCGCGAAAGGAGACTCGGGAACCAGTGACTCAGTTCAGCTCATTTATTAGTCCCGAGATCGGCTCGGGTTCCGAAAGGAAAGCGGCGGCCTTTATTCTCTAGCCGCGGCGGCCACGGCCAATGGCACCGCTTTGAATCTCCCGCGATTAGTTTCTACCAATCGCGGGGGGTTCGCGGCGGGCCAATCCGTGCGGCTCGCTCAGCCAATCAGCTCGTTGCGCGTCTTAGCCAATCGCGGCGCGGGTCTGCAAGAATGGTAATGACCGTACAGAACACTTTGACTTGACTCCCTCTTCTTTGTGGCAGCCCCTGAGATAGTGGAACACTGCTATCATGTCTCCCCTAGTCCTTCTTTTCATCAGACTAGACATACCCAGGTCCTGCAACCGTTCTTCATATATTTTAGCCTCCAGTCTCCTAATCATCTTTATTGCTCTTCTCTGCACTCTTTCTAGAGTCTCAACATCTTTTTTACATCGTGATGACCAAAACTGAATGCAGTATTCCAAGTGTGGCCTTAAAAAGGCATTATAAAGTAGTATGAACCCTTCACGTGATCTTGATTCTATCCCTCTGTTTATGCAGCCTAGAACTGTGTTGGCTTTTTTGGCAGCTGCTGCACGCTGCTGGCTCATAGTTAAATGGTTGTCCACTAGGACTCCAAGATCCCTCTCACAGTTATTATTTTTGAACAAGGTACCACATATACTGTGCCTGTGCATTTGATTTTTCTTGCCTAAATGTAGAACCTTACTTTTTTCACCATTTAATTTCATTTTGTTAGATAGCGCCCAATGTTCAAGTCTGTCAAGATCCTTCTGTATCTTAAGCCTTATCTTCTGGAATGTGGACTATTCCAGCCCGCTTGGTGTCATCTGCAACTTTGATGAGTTCCCCACCTTTCCCCTTGTCCAAGTCATTGATGAAGATGATAAAGAGTACTGGGCCTAAAACAGAGCCTTCGGGTACTCCACTGCATACTTCCTTCCATGTAGATGCAGTTCCATTGAGGACTACACATTGAGTGTGGTTGGTCAGTCAGTTATGAATCTATCTGGTGATGTCTAACCCACATTTTTCTATTTTACCTAGTACGGTAGAAGGTTATGGTCCCCTGTACACTGGCAATTGAGTAAAAATAAATGCAGAATGATTTAGTTCTACTTCCTAAAACAGAAGAGATTTCTTTGCTTGTTAAATAAAAGGATTCTGTACTCTTGCTGCTGGTGTACTCTTACAGACATTCTTCCTGAAGCAAATATTAAACAACTATCCACTAAAAAAGCTGTGGGACTTTTTAGCATTCACTGATACTGTTTCCTGCAAAGGTAATCAGCTGTCGAACAGAATAGTAGATAGAGGTGTGAATCAATTTTTAAATATATTTCAAGGTGGGAGGAGTTAGATTGGAAGGGTTCATGTTTGAAAGTTCCAGATCCAGGCCAATGCAGCCCTGCATATAAAGTATGTTGCTCTATGCTGTTCTATAAATTGTTAATTCAAGCCAGTTACCCCCATTACTAATAACATGATTCTCTTTATGTGTTAAATCCTATTTAACCAGTAGCTTTATCAAAAGCCACAAAAAGCATGGTATAACATTTCTTTAGTTAATAACTTGGAAATGGAAAATGGAAAACTGTAAAGTGTCTTAAGTTACCCAGAGATTTAGCCATTTCTTGATAATTTTGTACGTATAGGTGACTGAGGAGAGTAGAATAATGATAGTTTCAGTGAAACAAGGAGGTATTTCACATATAATATTTCAGTCTCCAATCTACTTCCATGCTCTGCTCCCTGAAAATTTGTTCTGGAGTTCTATAATTTTGCAGGAGATAGGAGCAGAGGAAAAAAAAATCTTTTCCAGAATTGCAGCAGAGCTTTTCTGGATTTAAACCAATGTCCATGTTAAAGTTTTCAACTGGGAAGTTACTGATTTCCTCCCAAAAGCAAGCATCATGGCTTTTCTTTCTTTTTTTAAAAATTCAGCTTGTTATGATAGGACAATCAAGTCTCCTGAAAAAGTGCTCCAAAAGAATAGAAAGCAGTAAAATGACATGGCTTAAGCTAAGATGTAAAATTGGTTTCTCTTCAAAGAAATCTGCCTTTTACTCCATAATATTTCACAAGTCTCCTCAGAATTCAGTGGAATTTCTGGTTAAATGTGTATATTCTGCTGAGGGTATATACTTACTTCTGAGAAAAGATATTCATGGTTATGCTGTAAATTTAATTCAGATGATTTGGTAAAGACAGCCAATCATTATGGTAGTTACAGTATAGGTATTTATTGTCCATTCTAATATGCAATGTCTTATACAAAGTTAAATCTTATTAATGATGAGCCCCCCTTGATAAAAACTTTCATTCTATATTAGGAAGGAAAAATATTAGGTCAACACTATTAATAGTTCAAGGAAAATGTTATCAAGTATTACAAATATTTTATAAATAAATACTGGCAAATTCACAGAGAATAACTTTCATAATAGCTTGATTTTAATGTTCTTGTTTTTATGAAGCTTCCATTTAAGCAGATTACTTTGAACTCACCCTATAGATTGGTATAGCTCCAAATACAATACCAGCTTCTTTGTTTCCAGATTTAAAACTTTCCAAAGGGGTTTTATTGACCTGCAATATTAAAATAATATAATTTGAGTTCCAAAAATATTTATCTCTCAGTTGTATTGTATTTAATATATTAATTTTTTATTTCTAAAATCTGCTTTAAGTTGAATTCAGTTCAGAGGTGGTTTTCAGCAGGTTCTGACCAGTTCTGAAGAACCAGTAGTGGAAATTTTGAGTAGTTTGGAGAACTGGTGAATACCACCTCTTGATTGGCTCTGCCCCCATCTATTATCTGCCTCCTGAGTCTCAGCTGATCGGCTGGGTCTTCTTTCGTTGCCCTGCACAGGAGAACAGAGCTGGAAAGCAGGGAATGAGATTTTGTAGTAACCTTCCCACAGGAGTGGGGAGGGAATGGGGATTTTACAGTATCCTTCCCCTGCCACGCCTACAAAGCCACGCCCACAATGCCACACTTTGCCCACCAAGCCATGCCCACATAACTGGTAGTAAAAAAATTTGAATCCCACCACTGATTCAGTTCCTGTTTCATTGAAGTACAGCTTCTTTAGCAAAAATAATGGTGGCTAGATGTAGTTCTGACTTGTAGACTAGACTGGGAAGTAAAAAAATTCCCAGAAGATGGCAAGGCATACCGTTTCTGTAATGTTCCAAAAAAACAAAACACCCTCTAGTGTCTACAAAGTCACCAAAAGCTGAGTTCAAGGAATTTCACAACAGCAACGTTCTTCTTTGTTTCATTATTTCAACATAACTTTGTTTGAACAAATAAAGGAATGTTGGTGCTACTTTCAATATACAATGTAAAGCATACATTTTTCTTAAGTACTTCAGAAGTATGGAATTGAAGCATTGCTTACTATAATTTGAGTCATAATCTGACAGAATAATAGTTCTCAAATTTAATATTACACAGTTGGAAAAACCAAAAGCTTTTCTAATCTTACTGTCTTGCTTAGCATGATCCAAAATCCAGAATCCAGAATTGTGCCTCCCCCATTAAGATATCTGGCATATAAATAGCCAGGCAAGATTTGACTGTGTCATTGCCCCTAACTAAACTTTTCAATAAGATGCTGTTTCTCAACCTTAGCAACTTTAAGATGTGTGGATTTCAACTCCAAGAATTTCTCAGCCAGGAGTTGAACTCTATACATCTGAAAGCTGCTGAGTTTGAGGAACACTGCAGTAAGGCAAAATAAAGTTTCAACAGTGAGTACCTTGGGAGAAGCCAGGGACTTGAAAAACTTAAAATCCAGATCAACTTCGTGTCGGCTAGGCTTTTTCAAGTTTAAAGATGACTTGGTCATAGTCTTCCATCTATTAAAAAGATATAATTGAGAAGCAATATGTTACTTGCAAAACAAAGGAAGCATTCAGTTTCATAATTATGTCTGTGATGAATACAATTAACCTCAATTTTAATATGGTCACCAGGAAAAAAAATAGTACTGCTCTGCTAGTTTAATGCTGCAGTTTGCTTAGGCATAAGCCCTGTTAAAATATAATTATTGAAGAATAATATTCATTGAATATAATGGCTATTTATTCTGATTGTGCCTTTGTAAGATTGCTTTAAATCAGAAATACACCCAGGCAAGACTCTTGCATGGAATACACTTCTTTAATAAATACAAATTATTTATTGGCTGCATGCCCCCAGTGGACTCTGGGTGGCATGCAAAACTATAAAAAAAACCAATAATAGTTAAAACCATTAAATTGGATAGCTAGCCTAGATTTAAATGATCTAATAAACAACAAATACAATAAAACAAAGCAGGGGCCTTACACAAATCATGAACACCAACCCAGGCCTGGGATCCAGGCCAGGTTTTCAAAGGTTTCGGAACCCCAGGAGAGAGGGTCCCTTCCTTATATATTGGGGGAGGGGGGAATACTGTTCCAGAGGGTGGGAGCAGCATCAGAGAAGGCATGTTTCCATGGTCCCACAAAGTGACAGTGTTTAATGGACCTGAAGCGCAGTCGTTCTTCTGGAACGTACTGGATGGGCAGAAACTATTGGAGATAATTTTATTGACAGGCAAACAGTACTTCAGTAAATCCTATTTGCTGTCTGACATCACAGTGAGAAAAAAAATGATATTTCCCATTATGTGGCTCCTAACAATGACACAGAAAAACCAAGCCAAAAAGGAGAGGCAGTTGGTGATTACCACAGATGAAAGTAAAAGATTCAGGTAGTTTGTTTATTTATTTATTTATTTATTTATTTTTATTTGGTTTATCAATTGCTTACAAGATAATAGGTATAAGTAAAAACATAGTTATGAATACATGGATACATATAAGAAAAATAAAAAAATAAAAGAAACAATAGGACAGGGACGGTAGGCATGTTGGTGTGCTTATGCATGGCCCCTACAGACCTCTTAGGAAAGGGGTGAGGTCAATAGTTGACAGTCTAAGGTTAAAGTTTTTGGGGTTTGGGGAAGAAACCACAGAGTCAGGTAGAGTATTCCAGACATTGACCACTCTGTTGCTGAAGTCGTATTTCCTGCAATCAAGTTTGGTGCGATTAACCTTGAGTTTGAGACAAAACAATTCCTGATTTATTTTAGAGGAATGATCAATGATGAGCACATTTCTGGGAAAAATTAAGGATCTTATTAACAGCATTAATATAAAAGGACCATCAAAAAGTTAACAGAAACTCAATTAGCTGACATTATGTGCCACTCCTTATACAAATATGATTGTGTGAAATACAGTACATCTGGTGCAAAATCTATATATACTATTAAATTTTTCCTGTTTATTATTTTCAGTTGGGTGAAATGGTACATCATAGGACTAAATTAAATCTAGCACCACTTACTCCTGTTGGATTCAAATTTTGCCTCTGTGCTGCTGCAGTCAGCATTGGTCACTTGATTGTTATGGGCCAATGGATGAATGACAATGTGGAACTGAAACCAAAATTTGAAATTTCTTAATGGTAATAGGCAGTGAGGGATGGAATGAGGGAGAGATTCAGATGGTTGCTGACAAAGTAAGCTGTTGGTGGGGGGAAACGAATGGTCAACTGGTGAAACTTCTCCCTCCGTAGAGGCAGATGGTTCTTGGGAATATACCAGAATGGAGAGCAGGTAGCAGTCTTCTTCGTGGTCTATGGTCCCCTTGTTTCCCCTTCCGCCACAAAGGGGAAGCAATTCTTGGATCAGCCGAGGAAGAAGAGGAAGGTTCACTAGCTAAAGGTTAGAAAGGGGAAGGGAGGAAATGGTGCCAGCCCTATTTATGTGGAAAGGATGATTCAACAGGTCCTGGGCTGTCTAGTTAATCATAATACTAATGAGCCTCTTATTCCCATTACTTCTGATTTGAAAGTGTGTTAAACAAATACTTTCAACAAAGCAGATGTGCAAACTCACTTTTCCCTGTCAAAAAACAGAGGATATTCAAACTTCTGCTTTTTATCCAAAAACTTGGATTCTTCTTTTATTGTGAATGGAATTTCATTTACATCACAGGGCAAAATTATATCGGAGGATTCAGTAATTTCAAACACTCTGCGCTGTCCAAAATAGCCAAAGTAGACTCCACGAATTGAATGCCAAAGTCTATTAAAGAAATCCAACCAAGAAATATTTTTTAAATAATGTCAGCATGAAAAGAGATGAGATGTTTCAAACAATATTATGAAAAATATTAATCAAGTACAATCGGCATTATAATAATTTTTAATGGAGTACCTTTCAGGACAATGTATTAATAGTTGACAATTCAGGTCAATATAGATAATTGCCACGGTGGCAACTGTAACGTTTCATCAGCTACACTTTGGTAACAATTGGCTCACAAAAAAAGATCTGCCCTGAACATTTTCCTCTACATATATATATATGTAGCAACGTTTCGGCAGAATCTCATCTGCCATCATCAGGCTTCTGTATCATGTTCGTCTGTGAGTCAGACTTTTACAGTTGTTTCAGTTTTAAATTTGGGGCTAGCCTACTGCTGTGCCAGAATGTTTTTTTCTTCATCCTGATTGGTTGGGAGTCTTGGTCTGTGTTTATTGGTCTTGGAGTTTGCTGTGTTCTGCTTGATTGGTGTTTCTAATATCTTCTGTCTGTTTTGTGGCTTTTTTT